GTACCTGGCCAATCCCTGTCACTGTTTGTATTTTGGAAGACCACATCTATTCTTTGCTTAAAGCTCTGTATCAGTGCCCTCAGTAAACTCTGCATCCACTTCAGACTGACAGCCAGTCACGTTCCCAGTACTGAAATACAGTGAGAGAGTGACAGGCCTCAGACGCCGTGCTCCCCGGTTCCGACACGGTACGAGTCCCACGGCCTTGCACTGTGCCCCGCAGAGCGTGCAGGGAGAGGTTTTTGGTTGTCCCTTAGGACATAAGCTGCTAAATACATTCAAGTAGTTGTGATACTGGTATCGGATCCTCCTAGCCAGCAATGTTTAGGTATTTTTCAGTTCTCCTTTACCTACAGGAAGAGAAAGTTTGCATCGGTGACTACAGCCCACAAGCTACTTGCCAAAATTGGTGCATGCAGCATGACCGGACTACTGGAGAGGAAGCAGCTGCTTCCAGAAGAATCCTAATAAGAACAAGCAGTTGTATGTTTGACATTTAAAGCCAAACCAACTACTGGCCTTTTACAACCAAAGGAAAGCTCTAGAGGTCAATGCAGCTTCCATGGATCCTGCTCTGGCAACAAATTATACTTAAGAATGTATTAAAAAAAGTTTTCTAAGGGGGTTTAACTGGAACAGTAGAATAAAGGAATTGATTTCTATCTTCCCAGGTGCTTCACAGATTTCTTTTAAGAGACACTGGAAACTCTAAAGTGCAACCAGAAACTGCTGTGCTTGAAAACAAAATGGGAAGTAGGGACCTCCTAAGTTCACTTTGAGAACTGACTCCAAGTTTGAGCATATTAAAGAGAAATACAATGACCTTGATTAATCCTTTTTTTTTACTGAATTTTGTCTAACCCTTTCATAGAAGATAGGTTTTAAAAAAACAGTCCTTCCTCATATGAATTAGTATTAAGTTGTGATACATCTTGAATGACAAGCATCTGCATACTCAGTCTAAAGAGAGTAACTGTAATGAGAAACCTTCATGAGGGCCTGGCCCACCATGCTATGTATTTTGAGATCCCAGAAGAAAAAGCACCGTAGTCGGTAGGTGACACTGACATTCAGATAAAAGGTACTTACTGAGGTGGTGCTAAGAGACTTGCGGGTGCCTAAGAGAATTAGGAGATACCAGCTTGAAATTATCTTCTGTTCACTCCCACAGAGGAGACTGCATTCCACATTATTCTCCCCAGGAGTCTCTTGCGCCACAGAAATAACAGCTATATAAAATTTCTCATTAGGTCTGCTTAATGAGGCAGACAAGTTGGTAAACTTATCAAAACGTAAGCACAGTCTGACATTTTGATTGCAAACCCCTTCAAACAATCAACTCTCTCTGAAGCCCTGCTCACACTGTGACTGCAGCAAGATGCAGAAACGCTGTTAACTGCTCCAAAACACAACATAAATCTTCCTATTTTTCCTCGACTATGGCTTTACTACAGTCCCCCATCACCTCTTCTGAGTAGTTGGAGTCAAACAGCTCTAAATGAATGTTGGAGGATAAAGGAGTGCTCCCCAGGTCTCAGCCAGCCAGGGGGTACAGCTCCCTCCCTTCCGAGCAACCAGTGCACAAGCCCCAGCCCAGGCTTTCTCCCGTGGCTGAAAAATACAGAAAATAGCTACAGCAACTGAGCAGAACTCTGCTACTATAACGAGTCACATATGCAAGCCCCCAAGCCCTTACTAAGGGAACATTAATTATGCATTGTGAAAAAATCAGCCAGCAAACTAGAAGGTGAGAAACCGGCTGCTGACATACTGCCCTTGTGGGTTTATCTCAGTGCAGGACCGAGGGAAAACATCCTATTTCCTTTGGCCAGACTGGGATGCCTCCAGCAAGGCTGCTACCTTTTCTCCTAAGAGAGAGGAAACAGCCAGTGCCTCTCACCTGGCCAACCTATGGCCAAGGGAGCAGCCCAGGTGCACCAGGGCAGGAGGAGGAACCAGACAAGATCAGGGCTAAGATGCCACCAAGCACCTGCAGGCCAGTGGGCAACAAGGAAGAGCTGGTTCAATGATGCAGCCTAGACGAAAAGACTGATGCCAAAAGCTGGGACCCGAGCCCGGTCCCTGCATCTGTACTCAGTCCTTAGCACTGCCCAGTTTACGGTCCCTCCATACTGGACCTCGGATGCCCACTGCCATGTCCTTAGCCTCTTCCCAGGCAGAGCTGGCCAGGGACTATTCCCAATAAAGAATTTGGATAAGGAAAAGTTGTGGAGGGTGGCACAGTTTAATACCAATGGGCATACCATCATGTGTCTGTAGGTTCTAGATGCAGTTAATTTACAGTATGTTGGCACCGGAACCGTCATAACACACGATGCGCAAAGGGACCATTTTATGTAGGTCTCATCAAATCCTGGCTTCTACTAAAAGCATTTCACTTTGCAACCTCAGTCTGACAATGCCCTCCTCTTGTCAGTCCATTGATGCTCTCTGGAGCCCCACAGTCCCCATCAGGAGGGAGCTATTCTTGCTGTGTTACTGGTGATGGCAGAGATTTCAGTTTAATTGGATTGAAGATAAAACAATTTTTTATTCCAATGCATTGTCCTATTTATAACTCCTGTGCTGCAGTGCTTAAAGTTCAGAATACGTAAGTATCAGACACCAGAGGGGGGGAAAAAAAAAAAAAAAAAAAAAGGCAGGCAGGAAAGGCCTGGAACCAGCAGACTTTTCCCACAGATGAAACTGCATCCTCACTACATCAATCACATACTAAAACAACCAGCACTGAAATATTTTACTATTTGACATCGTGAGATTCCAAAAATTTCACTGAGGTGGAGCAATTTCACTTCAGAATTACGGCTCAGCCTCTCTTCAGATTCAGTATTTCTGCGTCATTCAGAGCATGTTTACAAAGGTGGTTCCCCCCACCCAACAGCAGAAGACAGAAAATTTAATAGACTGCAAGCTGGAAATTGGTCGGTGGCAAAGCTGAGCCTCAACCAAAGAAAATAATACATCTGCTGTGCCATAAATATGGCAAAAGGAAAAAAAAAAAAAAAGATCAGCTTCATCTCTTCTCCCCATGCACCCTGGATTCTTAAATTAATGAACACTGTCAAAATGCAGCTACAGAAAATACTTTGCTTTACTGAGTCTGTAAAATGAACAACCTTAACTTTTCTGATAGCTTAAAAGGATAACAGGACTTCACATCGTCGCCATCGAGATGTGTGTTTCAGAATGTTTTTAGACCTGCTTGGGAACACCACCACAGACAAACCATTTTGCCTTTTGTGCTCCTTAGGGGCTACTCACTGTCAGCCTGGCTGCCAGTGCTTCAAGCACACACCGCTCTGCTAGTCGTAAGGTGCATCCCAGAAAAACTTAAGCAAAATGAAACAGCCTCTTTTGGCAAGGAGTCACTGTATGCTCCAGCCAGCAGGAAAAGAACTGGTTAGGAAGAAAAGGAGTAAGCTCCACTCATTTCAGGAGAGATTTGAATAGTTTATTTTGCCCAGTCAAGAGCCCTTCAGCATAATGACACATTCATATACACATATATGAACATTTTTTCTGAAACATTAATGTATAATACATTTTAAATTTAAAATACCAGCTGCACAGGTATTTTTATTTACAAAAATATTCCATACTTAATTTTTTAACTTTGTTATGATGACATAGTTCAGTTCAAGTACATGTAAGTAAAATAACTCTATGCAATCTAACATAGTTGTGTTTGTAACAGTACAGTTTGCAGTTCATATGAAACTATATTTGTAGACAGATGGATTTGCAACCCTACCTAAAATGCATATTCCAGTAATCACCCTCAGAAGAGCTAGTGGGGCTCAGCAAGACTTAACTGAAGAATAAGTTGCAATGAACAAAAAGAAAAAAGAAAACACACATGTACACACTAAGTTATACATAAACGAGAACTGCTACACATCAAGCATGCTTACCCACAAGGGGGCAATGTTAGAAAAATTTACTGATTTTTTTTATTTTTCCCCCATGGTGCTGGTACAAGGAAGCAGTAGCATAACTAGAAAGCAGCATGTTTTCCTAGTTCTAACCACTACAGATAGCAGAGCTCAGGTCTAAAATAACACAGTACTGCTTATTTACAATTCTGTTTTAAAAGGGAATATTTAAAACATGTTCCCACCCCTCTCCCTTTGCATCACCTATTACTGAATGGTAGTGGTAATCCACATATAACTCCTTACATGTTTTCAACTGAAACAGTTTAACTTCTAGTTATTATTTGCCTGGTAGTATGTAACTTAGGTACTAACAAAAAGAAGTACAAGTGTCAAAGTAACCTACAGCTGTATGACAAACATTTCTACGCGCTTTACATGGAAAACTAAAAGGAATACTGATTGACACCTTTCATTTGATTGTTCTATGTTTCTGCCTCGTTTCCCCCCCCCCCCTTTTTTTTTCTTTTTAAAAAATGAACACCCACATCTTTTAGTGTAAAAGAACCCAGAAACACAGTACACTCATCTGGCTTGAAACAGTAATAAAGTAGATGATGTACAGCACATCTCTATAACATGCATAAGAAGAAATTGGCCCAGCTTAATTTAGCTTTTCAATGAAAACTGAAATAAAATTGGTTTAGCTGATTTGCCTACACTACACATCTTTTTTCTGTTTTACTTCCTTCCTTCCCCCAAACATCATTAATTTCTGTCTACAAAGTATTTGAAGATTTTGTGGTAGTAGCAAAGCTATCAACATCCACCAAAAAGATTCACAGAAATCATACAGGAAATTGGCTAGAATGAGAAAAGATTCAACCAAGAAGTTACCCTGCAACTTGGAGAGGGAGGCAAGGCACTGCACTCCTTCCCCATGCACCAAGCATGCTATCCATGCCTGCCCGGGTATGTTAAACCATGATGAGAAAGAAGAGGGCACTTCAGCCACAGGCTGTAAGTTTTCCACACATGTTTGGTATACCCCCCCCCCCCCCCCCCCCCCCCC